TTAACACAAAGCTATTTCTTCTGTAAGAGTTGTTCATTACACTCCTCATTGTGTGCTTATTTAAAGTGTGTTGCAGTATGATCTAACATGCCTTAGGATGGCCCATCAACAATTAATGTCAATACCTGCCTACTCTGAGCAGACCAGCTCAGGGTAGGTGTCTAATTCTATATCAAGCTCCTAATCGATTACCATAATGACCCATAATGGGACTGGAAATGGAGCCCCAGAGAGGTTGTTTTACTTGTCTTTATGTTTTATCCTTATCTTGAGGACCAGTCCACTATTCTTTTATCTGCTTTAGTGCTTGGTTGCTCTCACAGGCTAACAACCATTCCTAACCATGCCTTGGGCTCCAGATTTTGATCTAACCTTAATATGTACCAAGCCACAATCTGTCCACAACTTTGTGCCTAATATGACTTCATCTTGATTTTAGGTCATTAACCAACAGTCATTCTAAACTGTACGTACTATGCCACCCAAACCCAACTGGTTACCTTTATTAGACAGACTTGGTCTAACCTTAGCTAGAGCCGTGGTCCACAACTTGGCCCAAATACTATACCCAATTTTGAGGTTTAAAACTGAACTGCTTGATACCTTGAACCCCCTAAGAAGTCCCAACAGTGTTTTGTCTCCTAGAGTAACTCCTCACCGAACCAGATCTCATTTTAGCAGAACTGAACTAGCTATGATCCTACCTTTGGCAGAGAATCTGGTCATTGGAGTGGAGGTGATGGCCAGGGATGCCATAGCAGGTCAGGACTAAGAAATGGTCATCCTACTTTGCCTAAGGGAACCAAATGTCCAAGTGGAGGAACAGTACAGATCTTACGTGCTGGGGTTGCAGCCAGGTGTCTCTGCCAAGGTACGAAGCCCTGTCAGATTCCATATATTAGGTAACGCAGAGCCACAAGCCTCACCAAACAAGGAAGAAAAGCAGTGTTTGCATGAGGAAGAAATTATCGTCTTCATCCAGAGACAGAAAAGGAAATGTACTTTTCAAAATTACTGTAAATGTCATGTTACTCTGGTAAAAAACTTCCATTAAAATGACTATTTGTTAAAGGATGATAAACATTTATGAGAGAAATGGTTAAGCTTTAGGGTCTTCTTCCTAAGTGAGTGCCATTCATTTTAGAAGATGGATGACAAATTAGTATAAAGGTGTCTTTTAATTGATGATATGTAAGGCCTGTATAGTTCTTGATGGCCGAGGAGGACTTTCAGCTGCTTTATACTAGTAACTTAAAACGACAGGAATTCCAGTGAAAATTGAAAGTGGCTACAACACAATGCTATTCAGAAATGCCTCTCCCTATTTCCCCAGGGTACTTGTTAACATATATATGGCAAAGATGTCCCGCCTGTGTTCTTCAAGACTGTCCTCCCGTTTCTGGAAGGGCTGGATGAACTGAGGACTGCAATGTGGGGAATGGATTTGACTGTACCCTAGCCCTGCTTTTATATAGTGTCAGACTATCTGCAGAGCGGTCACTTAAATTTATGACTCGGTAACTGAGAACAGAAAGGAAAATTGATAATTTTTTCCTTCTTTTGTGTTGCTTTCTTTACTCTTAAGTATTGATCATATGGATTGCTTTTTTATGTGAATTGTCTTTTGGTAGGGATAAAAAGAAAAAGTATTTTTAAATGCATGGAGCCCTTGATCTTTAAACAGAAAAGTCTGGGTTCTTGGTCAATGATCCTGAAGTTTATATTCTTATTTTTTCAGTGAGAAATTTCATAGAAATTCATCATGTGAGCAGTAATGTTAGAATAATTATTAGGTAAGAGTAGAAAAATCCAATATATAAGATCACATCCTGTTCCATTTGCTAAATTTTTTTGTTTTATATTAACTGGAGCAGAAATTCACCCCTGGGTGCCCATACTAATGATTCACACTCTCAAAAGTAAAATTTATTACTTCAGTAGGTTTATGTATTGGTTTTGTCTGGGACGGAGTTAATTTTCTTCATAGTAGCTTCTATGGTGCTGTGTTTTTGATTTGTGATGAAAACATTGACAACACTCCCCTGTTTTGGCCATTGCTGAGCAGTGCTCACACAGCCTCAGGGCCTTCTGTGTGAGTAGTCTGGGGGTGCACAAGGGGTTGGGAGGGGGCACAGCTGGGACAGCTGACCTCAACTGACCAAAGGGATACCCCACACCATATGACATCATGCTCAGCAATAAAACCTTGGGGAAGAAAGGAAGAAGGTGGGACGGTTGGAGTGATGGTGTTTGTCCTCACAAGTTACCGTTGGGAAGACAAAGCTGGAAGTGGCTGAACACCTGTCCGACACTGGGAAGCAGTGAATGATTTCCTGATTTTACTTTGCTTGCATGTGCAGCTTTGCTTTATCTATAAAACTGTCTTGAACTCAACTCACAAGATTTTCTCACTTTTACCTTTCTAATTCTTCCTCTGATCCCACTGGGGGGTAATGAGCGGGGTGCTGTGTGGGGGCTGAGCTGCCTACTGGGGTTAACCCAGTAGTGGTTTTTGCCACCCAATGCAGGGCCAGAAGGGTTAGAGATAACAACAGATTTGTTCGGAATGTGCTAGACCAGTTACAGCTGTTTAGCTATTAATTGGCAGGCTCCTGCGCTTGCCATGGGACTTGCTTGCTTTGCTGTTTATTAGTCTAGTGATTGTTAGTGGCTGCTATTTACTGTAGTGCTTATCATCTTACTTTGCTGTGCCTGGGAACGTTTTGATAACAGCACTGGCCACATGTCTGGGCTGGAGTATGGCCAGGACATTGCTGCTGTTCCTGTACTGCTGTGGTAGGCATGCTGTAACTACAATCTGAACTCCAGTTGAAGGGACTGTGACATGCAAGCAACTCCATGCTGGAGCAGATACACCCCAAAGCATCTGTGGCTGTGAATATGTCCACAGTGGAGCAAGTGCATCCCTGAATCATAGAATTATAGACTCATAGAATCATTTAGGTTGGAAAAGAATTTAGGATAATCAAGTCCAACCATTAACCTAACACAAGTCCACCACTAAATCATGTCCCTAAGCGCCACATCTACATATCTTTTAAGTACCTCTAGGGATGGTGACTCCACCACTTTCCTGGGCAGCCCGTTCCAATGCTTGACAACCCTTTCAGTGAAGAATTTTTCCTAATATCCAGTCTAAACCTCTCCTGGTGCAACTTGAGGCCATTTCCTCTTGTACTATTGCGTGTTACTTGAAAGAAGAGACTGACACCCATCTCACTACAACCTCTTTTCAGGTAGTTGTAAAGAGAAATAGCATCTCACCTGAGACATTTGTTCTCTAGACCCTTCACCAGCTTCATTGCCCTTCTTTGGACACACTCCAGCATCTCAATGTCTTGTAGTGAGGGGCCCAAAACTGAACACAGTATTCAAGATGAGGCCTCATAGGTGCTGAATACAGGGGAACAATCACTTCCCTGGTCCTGCTGGCCACACTATTTCCCATACAAGCCAGGATGCTATTGGCCTTATTGGCCCCCTGGGCATACTGCTGGCTCATATTCAGCTGGCTCCTGACTAACACCCCCAGGTCCTTTTCCACCAGGCAGCTTTCTAGCCACGTGAGTAGACTGCAGCCGGTGGGTAAGTCCATACTGAATCATGGGCAGGGGGAAGAGTTTGTTGCAATAGTAAACATTATAGCCTGGTTCAAAGGGACCAGGCATGGAGATTGCAATGGATATAACTTTAAATTGTTGTAACCCATTGTTTGACTTGCGTGTTACAGGAAATACTATAGCAGAAACCACCTGAACAGTGGACAAGCCTCACAAGGAGCCCTGCATGTATGACCCAACTTGAATAGGTTTTGGCATCCAATAACTCTACACAACATACCACCTCTCCTGTCCTGAAAAAAAAAAGAGGGAACCCAGGTCATGGAAGAAGAGAACTCGTTGGGCGTTTTATGGACATTTAATAGGAGTGACCCATAGACTAAAAGAATGATATTTTTTTATCTATCAAAGGATGGGTAAAGGGAGAGGAAGGTGATTATGGACATGTATTTGATAATGTGAGACCTAAGCACAACACAAATGGTATAGACTAAGGGATCAAGATTATACTGATTTGGGCTGGGATGGAGTTAATTTTCTTCATACTAGCTCATAGAGTACTGTTTGTGATTTGTTTTTATAATTATAAATATTATAAATGTATTTATTATAAATTACAGCTCACATGGTGCTCAAATTTAGAATTAGGTGAGCATTTGAATAGTTACACTTGCATAGCCCTAGTAAGCTCTAAGGTACATTTTCATAACAAACAACCCTTCCATTAGCTGCCAAATTGAAAAACAAATAGATTTCAAATTGTACTTTAACAAACCTTTTTATGTGTTATTGAATTTGTTTTGGCTGTATACCATTTGTTTTTAATGAGTACGTCTATCACTACTGAAAAAAACCCCATGTAATAAGCTGAAAGAAGTATGTGACAAAAGATGGATGGAAGTTAAACAGAAAGAATCCTAATGTGGCAAATAAGCGAAGAGACTTGAAAACATAGGCGTGACACCGAGCAGGACTTAAGAAACTGTCTACTTTCATATTGGCGTTGTTTAAGATATTTAACACTTTCTTTGAAGATAACAAATACTTTGGATGGCAAACTTTTCACCAAATAGTTGAGAACTTGAATTTGTGCCATTTTTGCATTTTATTGCTTAGCAACATATTACTCCTAATCTCCAGTTACGAGTTTACCTAATGCTTGTCCTTATCTTGAAGTGTGACAGACAGGTTCTCTCTACGTAGATAAGGCTTTTCTGCCTTTGACCTTTCTGAGTCTTTTTCCTGCTTACTTTGGCTTCCTGTAAAACTATCACTGGTGCAAAAACTAGGATCTCATAAAAAACCTAGGAACAAAGTACAAACACACTTGAAGCAGGAGCAGTATCTTAGTTGCAGCTAACCCAGCTGGAGAGGCTGAGGAGCACGGCATATGTGCAGCCAAGAAGCAGGTTGGGCAAAATGGAGCTTCAGGATGATACCATCCAGTATCGAAGTGGACATTTGGAAGAGATGTATTTAAAACCAACAGAGTATGTGAAGAAAAAAACGCTCCTGAAATACAAAGTCATCTGTGCTGTAAGTAGGTGCTGTTCATCAAGGCTACTAGTTTAACTGTTCTCAAATCGGCAGAATTTTTAGAAATTTCATTGTATTAATATAATAATTCAGGGTAGCTTGGTAATCGGTGCTTAAAGTTTTACAGCATGAATGCACTAACTTCACTGGCACATTTCAGAAGTTCTTGTGGCACTTATCAAGCAAACATTTTTTTTCTGGCAGTTAACTGCACTTTTTGTTTTACTACAGTAACCTGACAGGTTTTTTCTGCACAGGAAAGACATTTCTTCAATACTTTATTTTATACATTTGTTTAAAACAGAGGTGTTTGTGGCCAAACAGTTCCTTTTCACTTACTTTTTTATCTTTGGATTTGTCATTAACAAAACAGAACATGCACAGAAAGCGTTGGTAAAAAACACTCAGGAAGCAAGGCACGGGAAAAGGCTAATGAACTGTTTCCTATGGTATTGTCAGTCCTATATCTCAGATATTATGTCAGCTGTTTCCCTTTCCCCCCGGGCTTTAAGATTCATGCAGCTGCCTTATAAATAACAATGTGTAGGGGTTTTGTTACTTTTTAAAAATATTTTGTTGTAAAAATCTTAAAATCTTTGAATCTTTTGTTGTAGCCAATACACAGTATTAACTTCTGTTTGTGACCACAAAAGAAACAATATGTGTGTGTGTGTGTGTGTGTGTGTATGTTTGCACAACCTTTGCATCTGTAAATTGGAATGTTAGAAAATGACAGATACTGATTTTAGAAAGACTCAAAACTTCATTTTGAAAACAGCTCTATGAAAAAGAGAGTCAAGTTATGATACTCTTCAGCTCTGTGTCATCAGAACAACTCCACATATTAGTACAACTTCCTATTAATGCTGCATTGTGCAAGAACTGCATAAAATATGTGAGAAATATTTGAAACAGACAAAAAAAGAGGAGATTAAATGACACAATTTTTCCTTAAGTTGTCAGTAAAAATAAATGAATCATAAGAAGTGTGGGAAAAATTCATAACTATGAAGGAAAGTAAATTATACTTTTGAAAAGGAAGAGTAAAGTGAGAAGTTTAAGTATCATAAAACATATTCATTCTTCCAAATGCACTGGTTTTCAAATGTCTGCCTATATGAAAAAATCCCAAAATCTAAATATTGGAGGTGTAAGCTGTTAATATTCTACACCATTTATCTATTGTTTTTAATAAACTATATGCATTAAGTACTTCCTTTGCAAGTGTTTCCTGAAAGCTTAGTCAGAAAATTGTATACTCACAAATAGTAGTCACACTGCCTACTAAGTCCTCCAGAGGACAGAGCATACGCATTAGGAACAATTTTTTTATGGGTAAGTCTTGAATTTAGACATAGAAGTTAGCTGCGGACAGTCTGAGGATTTGAATAGGTGTTACCAATGTTATTTCACCTTAAGGGTGAGTGTCCCAAAATCAAGGGTCTCTGTGTATATACTATAATAAATGCAGCATATCATCTGTATACCTGCTATGAATTTTTTTTGTTTCACCTCAGCTCTCTCACTGCTTGCAGCAGTGGGAATGTTCAGTGCTGGAACAGCTATACCTTTAATTTAATATAATTATTTATTTCAGTTACAAATGTGAGTTTTAATTAAAATGGAGGGTAAAACCTTAGTGAACTTTAAGGTGAAAAGTAGCCTGGTGATTGGGCTGATCTGTACTAGGGGAAACAGGACCTGTTGGGTTAGCCTGGTAGTGTTATTCTCCCTACCCAGAAAGACTGGCCACTGTTCTAGCCCAAATGTGCCCCTTGACTCTCAGTCCTTGCTAACTGGATGAACACCTGGGGTCTCTCTTCAAGAGAATTCAGCATTTTTGCCACTTTGGGCAGTCTTTCCAAACACGCTTATCCCATCTGTATCTGTGACCCAAGATCTCACACCAATTCCATTTCCATTTGTGCTTTTTTGAGTATTTCTCCTGTACAAAAACTAGGGACTGAACCTCTGAGAGGGTTGTCACTTTTCACTCTGCCTTTCAGCCAGTGTACCTTGCCATTCATCTTGAGTGACTATTAAACAGATCAAAGCCTCCTCAGCTCCTCCTCAGTCTCACAAATATTATGCTGCTTTCAGTGATGTAGCTTCCTTGGGCTGTTTGTCTCTTTCCAGTTTCCTCTAACCTCTAACAGGTTAGAGGTTACTTATTGTGGGCATGTGGATGAAAAATTGACACTTGCAACTTCAATCTAGCTGAGTCTCTTGAGAAATCCCTGTGAGGATTTCAGGAAAATGCAGAAGCTAAATAAGAGGAATTGTGTTCTCTTTACACAGATAAAGAATTTGTAAAATGGGTAAACACAGTGATTACTTCCCATTATCTTTTTCACAGCAAAGACTTCCCCAATTACAACATGGGTGTGGCCATAGGTTAAAAGTGCAATATTAAGGTGCTGGCTCGTAAGCAGTTCATAAGATTATCATTCTTGTGCCTCTCCTGTCTTCAGGACATCAATTCTTTGATAAACAAGGTCAGAGAAATTATTAGTTCGTAAGAAATCCTACCTGCATAGAAATAATAATCACACACTTAATTTCTAATAAACAGACCTGTTTATCACAATTGTGAACTTTAATTTTCCTGTGTCTGTGTGACAGGTTCTGCTGTGTGCTTTGGTGGTTGTATCCCTGGGACTAGGCTTAGTCTTAGGACTAGGCCTGAACCATGGAGACCAGAAGCAAGGTATGTTTACGATACTTTCAGTATAATTACCACTGAAGCTTAATCTCGTAAAGGTCTTCAGCAGAGCCTCTTTTATAGCTTAATGTAAAAGCTCTGTGAAAGCTTACCACCTGTGAAAATAAGGTTCTTGCATTTTTCAAGTTGTATTGTATAAAACCTGTACACTCACAATCTATACTTGAAGAACTTATTATGAACCACTGAGTGCCTTCCTTCTCTTTCTAGAAGTGTTAAACCTAGTTCACAACAGGTTTGGAAATTTTGTTATAATAATACTTTTAGGAAATTTCAACTAGGAGTTATCTTATTGCACGTATTACTTTGCAATTATTTAAAAAGTATGTTTTGTATAAGATATATCATTGAACCATCTTCAGGACTCATGCTTTGGGTACATTTGGCATAGTTCAGGTTGATAATGAAACTGGTTCTGAATTTTCTGTGAAAACTTAGATTTCTGTAAAGCTATGGTAAAAAAGGAGTGATGCTTTAATTTGGAAGAATGTTATATTTTAGTTCAAAAATCAAAATAGTGTATTGATGTCAGGGGGTCAAGCTAAATGAGAACAAACAAACACACCACATGATTAATTCGATAAAATACTTACTTTAGAATCAAAACAATAATAATCTCATACTGGTGGAGTTCAGGGAAGCACAATCCCTTTCTCTTTCCTAATTAACACATATTGTTTACCTACTTATTCATCAAGTCTTAGCTCCTTCTGACATCTTTCAATACCATGAGCCTAGCAAATAGGATGAGATGGAATGCTCATTTATGCTCATTACATATATTTTTTATTATTCTAATTATTTGCAAAGATTTCTTTCATAGAACAATAGTTGTTGATGTAAACACTTAAAGTGCAAGATGCAACATGGGAACTTTCTACATGTTAAACAAGATGGCTAGCTTGCAAAAAATTATTTTAGCTCTACATGGTTTCTATACAGTGGATATTAAAAACCAGATTTTGTAAGCAGTGCACCCTGTAAAAGCATGAACCTTTTGGCAGCTACAATGGAATTGCACTGGCAAATCTGAGTAGTTATACCTATCCTGTCTAATGGTTTGAGATGACAAGAAAGCTGGGAATGTGTCTGCTCAAGAGTGGTTCAAACAATATTTCTGCAATACAGAGAATTTGGACACAAGGCTTGCCCTGGCTAGTGTGGAGCTGTGGGTGATGTTTGGAAATTTGGGGATGTCCTTGCGTGTCCTCAGGAGAGCTAGAGCTCTCCCTCCTTGCTACATGAAGGTGTCAGAGCTGTGATGAGGAACTGCATGTCTCCATTTCTAAAACAAGGCTCCCCATTTGGACCCTTTTCTTTCTTTCAATCAAAGCAACCAAACCTGCAGATTTTTAAGGGATATTGTAACTATGAAGTGGCATAGTTATGGTCAGAGTCCTGAGTGCATTAACAAGCCTTATGGGTCTTGCTTAGCCACCTGGGTCTGCCACTACCCTGCCCATGATCCCATTTCACCCCCCTGAGGCCATCAGCTCCTGCCCTACGCAGCCATGGGTCCTGCTAAGTCAGGCCCACCCACAGGCTAACAGCCTGGCCTTGGCCTGTCACTGTCCCTAGGAAGGTGCCTGGTGCCTGGGATAGGGCTGCCCTGGTCCCTCTCCTGTCTGCCCCACTCCTGGCTGGGGTGATGGGATGAGCCCAGGCTGCCAGGTCCTGCCCAGCCACCCCCAGGGGCCCCCATGGCTCTGAATGCCCAGGCCTGAAGGAGCCCTCATCTCATGGAGCTCCCTGACAGGTACATTAGGGAACGTCCAAAGTGGGAGTAGCTCTTCCTTTTGCACCCCAGACCCAGAAATTAGTCCGACTGAAAGAACCATCAGGACCTTCAATGTCCAGAGGATTTTCTATGGCTTTCGTTTTGTCTTGCTTACCTGTATGCTAGTGACCACATTGGAAAATGTCTCGGGAAACAGATTTGGGAAATTATTCAGCACATTTCTCCCCACAGCCTGTGTCCATGGCCCATTTAACTGACCCATCTGGGACAGGGCTATCCGAGGACTCAGGCTGCCTGCCTTCTCCTTACAGTCAGCTGCAGACAAAAATGCAACGAGCTGTACAGGACAGAGGTGCCTGGCTGCCGATGCGACAGCAGCTGCAAGGAGCGTCAGGACTGCTGCTGGGACTACGAGGACACCTGTGTGGAGCCAAGTATGTTCTCCTACGGGCAATGCTCACTGGTTTCCATTTTATTTTGGGTTTGTTTTTTTCACACGATAGTAATAGGAAAAGGATAAATAATTGTTTTTATGCAGATATAAGGAAGTTATGTCACATTCCCTCAGAGAGGGAAGGATGTGACGGTGTTGAGCTGCTGTGACACTCAGATGGCTGGAGGGCTGTAACTTGGTGACCTGGCAGGACATGAAATTTTCCTGTGTCTTTCATAAGTCAGATCCCTGTATTTTTGTCCCCTGTGGATAACCAAAGCATTTGCTGTACATATTTCCAGATAAAGCTGTGGATGAGTGTAGGTGGAAATCATAGGTTATCTTTGACTGAGGCTCTGAAACGATGCTGCTATGCTGACTCGTCTTGTGCTTTCAAAAATGAATGTGTTTTTCCCAGCCAGGTGGACCCTCAGCCTCATGTTGTGGTCATTGGGGGCCTGGGGCTGAAGGAGTGCACTCATCCAGGGGACCTGCTCTCCTGGCAGCTGCTAGGAGTTTTCTTCATCCTCATCACTTTTTCTCCCTGCTTCAGCTCTTAAATCTCTTCTTTTGCTCTCTGCTGCAAGTCACCTACAAGAGCAGGAAAAATGATCCGTTTCCTTCTCTTTCTCTTCTGTAGGAGAAATATGGGTTTGAATATTTTTCTTTAGATCTTCCTGGAAAGGTGGAGGGCATTGAACAGGGTGTCTCTGGGGACGCCTTTGTAAAATAAATTGTTCTGTGACTCTGTGTTACCATTCAATGACTGCAAAAATAGGTTTTATGTGTTAAATGAAACCTTGGGCTTTCCTTTCAGATAAAACTTCTAGAGCCACTCAAGCAGGACATGTAAAATATAGTTTAAGGAAAACTCTTTCTTTTGTTTGTTTTTCTTTACCTGTCTGGGGGATTTCCCCACAAAGGAGTTAATATAAGACTCTGAACCGAATCTTTTTTTTCCCAATTTTCAGCCCGATCTTGGAGGTGCACTAATTTCCGTTGTGGAGAGACACGGATACCTGGAAGTTACTGCTCTTGTTCTGATGACTGCTTGCAGAAAAAAGACTGCTGTGTTAACTACAACAATGTTTGCAAAGGTAAATAAAAATTCAAAAATATTTATATATAAATTGGCCTATGAAATAAATAGATGGGCAAACGTGGCAAATATAAAGGTAGATGCATTTCTTTCTCAAGATTGAAGTCTTACAGTGCCGTTTTGAAAAATGAAGATTCTTTGAGGTGAAGATTTTTGTATTTTTGACTGGGAAAAAGATGGTTTCTGGAGAACGATGTGGATGTGTGTCATTCATAAGAGACAGAGTGTTTTTAATATTGCAGCAGTATACCTAATGCGGGTTTTTTGTGTTGTTTTTTTCTTTTTTTTTTATAGATAGAGACATGGTTCCTGCTTCAAACTTCATGTAATCCAAAGTACATAATGTAGTAATCACCCCTAATTTAAAATTTCCCATGCTTTTTATTGGAAATTAATTTTCAGATTGGGTTTCTTATGTTTTACTTATTTCTGAGTATCTTTGTTCATAGCTGATTGTTTCATACAGACTCTGGCTAAATATGAAAGAATAGCACTGGTAAAATTGGACTGCAGAAATTATACCTGATGAGTATACCAATAACATAAAATGTGATATCTGTTATCAGAATTCCTTTATACTGTGAGGTTGCAGAGATTTAAAGCAACTCATGCAAAATTACATTTGTGACCTAAGTGCAAACTAAAGCTAAAAGAAGTCAGGAGTTTGACTAGATGCTAAATTGATTGAGCTGACCAAGTTAAGGTTACTGTACACCCCTGCCTTTGGCTGCTTACTGGGAGAGAAGCTTTCTGTGGTGAGCTAAGAACTTGAACAGCCACTGCTTCTCCTTTTTTAATATATTTTTTTCCTTTCTTGAATGCTTTCCTCCTTTCTTCTCTTATTGACCTCCTTTATTTCTTCCAAAGACATGGGCAAACATTATCATAAGTTAGTATAGCTGTGAAGCAGGTGGAGAATATTCAAAGGAGAACAGAAGGAATTACTTGATAATTGAAAGCCATGGTCAACAAGGAAAGATTGAAGGAGTCTGGGCTCTTTACAGAAAAATAATTTTTAAAAAGGGTAAAGAGAGCGCTGGCAATCGTCTTTAAATGTGTAAGTGGTACCTGTAAAAAAAGAAGGCAGTAATCCAGTGTGGACAGGACACAGTTTAAATGTTTTCCATTTAAAACTAGATAAAACTTAGGCTAAGCTTTCATAGTGATTTCTTCTCCTATTTGTTTGTTTGCTTGTCTGGGCAGTATATGTGTTTTGTTTTTAACATACAGTTGTAAGCATTGCCCCTTTCAGGGTTCAGGGGCCTAATAGGTTGCGCTAAATGATTTTTAAAGGTATCTTTAGCCTTACATTTCTATTCTGTATTGAAGCAGAAAAAGTACCAGGAAGAGCTCTAAAAAGATCAACCAGGAAACTCTGTTGTTTGTGTAGGGTTTTTTTAATGCTGACTCAGTATTTTCTTTTGTCCTTTTAGGTGAAATACCTTGGGCAGAGGAACCATGTACATCACTTGAAACTCCTCAGTGTCCAGCTGGGTACGATAAAATAATTTTGTCTTCTTAGCAAATAAAATCATTGTGATGGTCAGAAATACTCCAGTGGCCTGAAGCAGGTCTTCGTGAGGTTTTTGTATTTATTAAGAATAAGGTTTCTGCCCTGAGAAGTATTCTGTAGAAGCAGTTTGCGGCTAGCAATGTTTTCTTCTTTCTAAAACTTTTGCCATTTTGTTGCACATTCATTTATCATGTACAGTTTAGAGCAGAGTACAGAAGTTCAAATTCAGATTGAAAGTCAGTTCACAAATACCTGGAAAAATTGTTAGAATTATCTCAAGGTTCATGTATCACAAATTGTTCATAGTCCATTTTATGTTTACCATATTGTATCTGTGATAATTCAGATAAATGACCTTATACAAGCTGTAATAGCTGTCAGAATATGTTATTGCCATTCTTTATCTAGGTAACAGCGGATTTTTACTTGAATTATCTGTGGGTGGAAAGGTGTGTTAAAAAGGAAGCTATGAAAGTAGCTCCATATCTACAAGCACTGGAACATGGTAATTCTGTTGTCCACCTGTAGATATTTTGCTATTTGTGCAGTATTGCAGAATTGTAGGTAGAGGCTAGACTGAAACACAGTTTAAAAAGTATAAACAATAATACCTTTAGTACTGTGGCTTCTTCATGGATTCCTGCGTGTGCCTCCCAACACAGGTATAAAAAAAGACTTTCTCAGTTAACAAATAACTTGCTGAGTTAATACAGTTTCACAGGCTAAAGCTCGGAAACTAGTGGAGGAGAATTTCTCTTAAGTGCTGTAAACAGCATTGCTGTATAAAGCTGTGTTAATTTCAGATGCAGATCAGGAAGCTGCTTTATACAAACTGTTTTCTTTACAAACTATTGATGCCAGTGTACTTCTGTGTTTTGGAAAGACCACTGTGAATGAGAAACAAATTGAAATAATGATTACTGCCAGATCTGAATATATAACTTTTTTTTAATAGTTATCACTCAAAGCATTACTCAAAGAAATTATTTGGAGTCAGTTATCAGTAACTGCATTTTATCAATCATTTTCTGCCCCAATATTTTCCAGGGTTGTGTAGGG